CAGCACCTCCCCAAAGTCCCCAGGCCAGGCCTGAGAGACTGCAGAGTGGAGGGGAGCATGGCTCAGTCACATAAATCCATACACCACACAGACCATCACCCTTAGCTTTCCTTACACAGATCCATGCCCATGCATGTGTACATGTGTGCACACACACAACCAGAGAGTGTGCCTGATGGTGGACACAAGACCCATCAGGGCTGGAGGAGGCAGAGATACTCTTGGTCCCTAGAGGCGGCCAGGTGCACGTGTGTGTACATACTCATGAACATACAGGAGGAGCCTCCACGGAAACCTTCATAGAAGCACACACATCTGTTTTACAGGGTGTTTACTATGCACAAGGTCTACTTAATACCCATGAGCTTACTTAATCCTTTCTACCATCCTTCAGGGTAAACCTTACCATCCCCAATGTACAGAAGAGGACAATGTACAGATGAAGGAACTGACCCAAAGTCACACAGCCAGTTGGATCTGGATTCAAACTCTCACCAAGAACACCTGCCCCACCATCCCCTTCCTCTCTAGCCTTGCCTGGCTTCACTGCCCAGCTCAGGTATCACATCCTCCAAAGCTGTCCCTGACAGCTCCATCCCACCTTCCCCCAGGCCATCTGCAGCTCCAATTGCCACATGGCCCAGCCACCCAGGGCCTCTACCCCTCACTCCTCCCTCTTACTCAAGGACCAAGAATCCACTGGGTGCCCACTGCGGGGCCAGGCACAGAGCTGGGTTAAGAGAATAAGACGGATCAAGCTAAGCCACCATACCTGCAAGCTCACCTTGGCCTAAGCCTCCAGACCTGCCGTCAGGAGACAGGCAGCACCCTCTGTGCTAATCCCAGGTCTCATAAGGCCATGGGACGCCCTTTCCCCCCCCTGCCTGTTACGGAACCTGAGAAGGAGAAGTGGGGAGCCAGCTGCAGAAGGGGCAAGGCCTGACTTCCCACCTGAGCCACCAGCTCCATGACCTCAGCCAACCATTTCCCCTTCCGGGCCACAGAATACCCCTCTGTGAAAGGACAGAACTGAGGACCAACTCTCAAGTCTCTGCACCCCAGCATCTAGGGTGTGTTGGTCCAGAGATCAAGCTGGGGGTGCCACCTATATCTAAGTGAATATGTGTGTGCCATCTGCATGTCAATCCCTCAGCCCTGGGCCTATCCTTGCCGGTGGGGGAGCACTGAAGGAGGTAAAGGAGGAAGGCAAAGAAAGAAGAGGGGAGGGCCGGGGAGGGGAGGCCTCTCAGTGTAGCTGCTGCCTCCTTCTGCGCTCTCCACCCCCACCCTCCCCGCCCCGCCATCCTGCCCTCAAGACTGGGAGCAGCTCTGGAAATCTGCCCGATGAAAGATATCAAGCATGTAACTGCCGAAACCATTTTCCAAATGGGAATTAATTTCTCCCATGGGTCTCCTGCCAAGCTGGTCCCAGAGGAACCTGACTCCTCACCACCAGCCCTAACACACACACACACACACACACACACACACACACACACACACCTCATGCAGAAACACTGACATCTATCTACAGAATAACAAGGACACGTCCCACACACAAAGTAACACAAACGTGGCTGCTCACACACAGAAACGCAGGCATAACACGAAATCCCTTAAATATTAGACAGATAGACACATCCCGTGCTACACATCACATGGTACACACACACAGAGGCCCAAACACAGGTACACCGTCTGCAGACACCAGAAACACCAATAGCCAAAACATGCCCACAAACACCCCGCTAGAAACCACCCCTATACACACCAACAGTCTGGGGTCACTCTCTGTCACATCCCTCTCATCTCTGTCACCCAGCAATCCAAAACCTTCCGTGTGCACCAAACCCAAATCCCAAGGCCCCCAGTGAAATCACAATCGGGAACTCTGTAAGCATTCTCATGGAGTCAGCCTGTGGGCTGAGAGCACCACCAGGAAGGAGCGATACCCTTGTAGCTCCCACTTCCCCTCACACACACCCCGGAAAGACGCAAAACCAGAGCCACTGAGGCAGCCAGGGCATGGGTGTGGGCATGAGCAGCCGTGGGTGTGGGGAGGACTCGTGAGGACGGGCACACAGAGGTTCCAGCTAAGGGGCTATGTGACCCAGGCAAAGACAGCTTCTCCACAACCCCCAACTCCCCTCTCCTACTCGCCTTGATGGTAGATTGAGGCAGGGGCTAGGGCCAGCTTGGCAGGAGGCCCAGCCTATGGAGGGTGGTCCCGGCTGAGGGCGGGGCAGGGAAGGAGGGCAAAGCAGATGACGCATTTGATTAGCGTTCACCAATGTCCACGCAGCACCAATGTCCCTGCCAGTGTCCGTGCCCAGCTCCTAGAGTTCTCGGCCCACCCCAAATCTCATGCTGTCCCAGGCGGGAGGAGGGAATATGACCCTGGCCTCAGAATGCTTTTCCAAGCCCTTGTGGTTCTCCCCATGTTCAGTCCTTATTCACATCCCCCCAAGTAATCCTCACGGTAGTCCTATGAGGAGGGCACTCCATCAGCCCCATTAACAGACGAGAAAACCAAGGCTCAGGACGACACTTGCCCTCACTAGAAGACGTGTCTATGGACCCTGGAGCAGGAGCTCTTGCAGGCCACGTGCCGTCTCGGGTGGTCGCAGGGTCCTCACTCCCCTTGGAAGCCCGTGCTCCAGACCAGCTGGAGGATCGTGTGCTGCATCCTGGGCCTGTTCCGAGGTCCTCTCTGTCCTTCCCAGGCCACAGGCTTGACTAAGTCTGCTTCCAGTGGAAAATGCCAGTCTGCTCCAGACCCTCTGCCAACAGGCCCTGCTGGGGCCAGTGGGCCCTGATAGGAGCCCCCGCCCCATGGACACGCAGGGCCAGGCCCAGGTCAGCCCAGTCCAAGTCTCGGGCCAAGTCCCAGGCCACTGTTCGGCTCCGGATTATGTGTCTTCCAGGAGCTTCCATCTGTCACTTAGCCCTCCAGGCCCAGGACAAAATTTATTTCCTTTTAAGAGAGCCAATGATTTGCTTTTCCCATGTCTCCTTTCCTGCCTTTTTCTTTTTTAATTAGAAATCACTCTCTCAAAGTCCAGAGCCTGGAAGGGAGAAGCCACCTGGTCACCAGTCCCCGCCACAGCTTCCCAATTGCTCCTGCCACTGCCCTCCCTCCTTCCTGGGCCTCGCCCAGGTTCTTTAGTACCCACTGGACTCAGCAGATGGAGGCTGCCCCATCTCCTAATGCCCTGTCTGAGCGGGGAGCAGGGGACCCAGGGAAGTGTGGCAGGGACTACCCAAGGTCAGCCCACACTGCTCAGCCGGTTTGTACAGAAAGCCCAGCTTCCGGGGCCCAGCGATGACAAAACAAGTCCCTGGGAAGTCTTTCCCTTCTGGGTCTGGTGCCACATCGGCCATGTTACTCCCAAGACCACGGCACCTGAGCCGGGCAGATGGAGGGGCCAGGAGCCCGGGCAGGCAGCAGCTCTGCAAGTAGGGAGCCAATTCAGTGCTCCTCCCTTCCACCCCTTCACCTGCCTGCCCAGCGGTCTGTCTGACCGTGGACGTAAATCCCAGGGGTCAGAATTTCACTGGCCTCCCCCACGGAGCGCACGCTTTGAGAACCAAAGTCAGGCAACGTGGGGGGTTGTCCCTTGCACATCTGGATGTTGAGGCATAAGCAGACACAGGTACACACCCACAGACACCTCGAATGCACCTTTGTGAGCACAGACACACACACACGCACGCACTCAGGCACACAAGCGTGTGCCCACACATCTCTCCACATCTCCATCATGGAACACGGCGCTGACCTCCGTGGCCTGCATTCCAGGACCTACAAACAGGTCCCCCCAGCTGTCTAACTATGGTTGCTTCGGTTCTAGGAGAGGGGGATATGGACACCCAGGACCTCACAACCCATGTGGGGGCTGGTCAGCACCCGGGGAACGTAAGAGGACAACAAGACTTTGTGGGGAGACTTGGCTGCCTGACCTCTGCTGGCTACCAGGGAAAGCCCACTTCTTCCCGCTTTCCCCAGCCCCCCTTGCTTTCCCCCACCCCAGTGCCAACCACCCAGAAACAACCCCTCCCGTGACCCCAGAGTCCACCAAGGAGTAGACAGGGGGATGATCATGCCCTCGCCCGAGGGCCTCCCCCCTCCGGGCCCCAGCCTCCCCAGGTGGTCCCCAGGCTGGGAATGGGCAGACCCCCTGGCATCAGCTGGGGCCTTACCGTGGAGGGTGCTCCGGGTGATCTGTCCCCCCATCGCTGGCAGCGGGCAGCACAGCCACCTTCGTTCGGCCGGCTGGTCTCCTCACCAAGCCACCCTAGCCGCCAGCTCCCCTCCTCCTGCCCCTCCTCCTCCCCCGCGGCCGGCAGCCGGCATGGCAGGGCCGAGCCCGCCCCTCCCGCGTCCCCACCAGCTCCCTCCCGCACACCACACGGCTGCCTGCCCGCGAGGCCGGCCACACACACACACACACATGCACACGCACACACACGCGCGTGCGCGTGCACACACACGCACTCACGCACACGCAAGCACACCCCTCTGGCCCTGCCCGCCGCCTCCGGCTCCCACCCACTCCCAGAGCCTCCCCCACCGGCCCCCACTGGTACAGGCAATGGGATCTGTCATGTTTATTTACATAAGGAGGAGGAGACTGGAGGCTTCCTGAAATAGCCGAGCTGCAGAAAGCACTGGAGATGCCCCAGCCAGAGCAGACACACGCACGCACACACACATGCACACACACACGCATGCACACGCACACACACACATGCACATGTACACACATATGCTCATTCCCCATCACACACCTCTTCACAGACACCCGCATGCACACAACCTCATTGTTCCCCCAGGCTTACTGCATCCACATGCCATGAGGCACCTACTACATGCAGACCTTGGACAAAGACAATGAGGGCACCATGGTGAGCAAAACACACACTGTCCGATCCTCAAGGGGCTTACAATCTGGCTAGGGGAGCTTACCAACAAGCAGCTAACATGGCTTCTATCTTCTTCCAGGCTCTATTGCAAATGCTCCAGGAGTATTAACCCCTTCAGTCCTCACCGGCTGAATGAAGAGGTCAGTAGTACTGTTTTTATCAATGAGTATCATTGTTATTATTATCTCACGGATGAGGAAAGTGAGACAAAGAGAGGTTATCAACCTAGAAAGTGGCAGGGCTGGGAAGCAAACCCAGGGATCCAGGTTTTTACCCGCCCCCCCAGCACAGCACCCCTTTAATCGTAACATATACAAGTACACACCAACATATAGAGACCTCACTACCTGTCTGTGCCATGTCACATGTATGTGCACAACACAGGCTCTCATGAGCCTTCGCCATTACGCACACTTCCCCACCCACTGCCCACCAGACTCTGTACGTCAGGCACTGCATGCACTCTCACTTGATTCCAGACGGCAGAGGCCACTGTTAGGTCGATTTTACAGAAAAGTAAGTTGAGGCTCTGAAAGGCTCAGGAAATTGCCTGAGGTGACCCACCAGGTCGGAGGAAGAGCCAGGACTCATGCCTCGGTCTGTGAGATAATCTCCCAGTTCGTCACCCTTTTGCAGGCTCTCCACAGGACAGGGGTCTCTCCCAGGCCCTGGCCCAGGCCCCAGCCCCTGTCCTCAGGGTCAAGGATCTGGGTTCCCAGGGAGAGATCTGGGTGGGGAGGGAAGGCCAGTGGGTAGAGGCGTGGGGGCTGGGGAAAGAGCTATGGCAAAGGCAGGGGCTGCCCTGTATCAGATGGGACTCCGAGGCCTCGGCACTAGGAGGAGCTGTGCTGGGCTCTGAGCCTTCACCTCGGCACCCTGCTGTTACCACCCCTGAGTAGGTCCAGGGGAGGGTCATCCAGGCCTGATCTGGGGTCATCAGCCAGAGGGCAAGGCAGGCCCTGGGTGAAAGTGGCCACAGACCCAGCACGCTAATCCTCCTACTAGACCAGAGGCATGGCTGAGTCTTCTCCCTGGAATAAGACGTGACCCCCAATCCACACAAGGCTGCCCCCTTCTACAGGCACATCGTGCTCGTGGCTGTGCATAGCCCCGTGTGCATGCACCCGCATGTTCCGGGGCACACACACCCAGTTCCTCTGGGGAAGGAAGCTAAGTCAAAGTCTAACAGAGAGGAGATAACCCAAACTCCTTTTGTGGGACAAATAATCATAATAATAGCAAACACGGGACTGACTGTGTGTCAGGCAGTTCTAAGCACATTACATACATTAACTTGTTCAATCCTATGACAATCCTAAGGGATAAGTTGCATTTTTATGCCCATTTTACAGATGAGGAAACCAAAGCAAAAAGAGGCTGCTCTGGAGGCTGTTCTTGCAGCAGCAGAGTCCACCCCCCTCATCCTGCCTGCCTCCTAATGCACCTGCCTGGGCCCTTCCCAACTAACCCCTTTCACATACCCCCCCTCCAATCTTCCCACTCCCTGAGCACTGGGAACACCTCTTCCGAGAAGCCTCCCTGGGACGCTGGGTGCAGGGTGAGTCCCCCTTCTTGGAGCTCGTCTCTCCTCTGAGCCCAAGGTATGCCTCTCCCAACCCCTCATCTTACTCTGCCCTGCCAGAGACGTCTATGCCTAGCTGTGGCCTTGTCTGCCTGCCCTGGGGGCATCTCAACTGTTCAACTTGACCAACATTTATGAGCACCTACTATGTGTCAGACACTAAGTTGGGTATGCAAGGGTGATCAATAGTAGACAGGCCCTGGCTCTCAAGAACTTACAGTCCAGAGGGAAACATATTTATCAAGTAGTCTTACTAAGGAACATATCATCACAATCCTAGAAAAGTGTGCTGAATGAAAGGAGCAGGGTTCTCAGGGAGGCTCGGGGCAGGCTTTCCTAAAAAGCAAAAAGGTGAAGGATAAGTAGGTATGTCCATGTGCTGTGGAGGAAGCTTTGAAGAGAGAGAGCTCCAGAGAGTGAGCACAACATGTGCAAAGGCCCTGTGGCTGGAGGAAGCCCACACATTCAAGAAACAGGGTCGGTACGCCTGGAGCAGGGACCGCAGCAGGAGCCAGGGGAAATTTTTCAGTGGCAAGCCAAGGTGGTCAAAGGACACCCCAGGAGGGCCTTGAAGAGCAGGATGAAGAATCTGGTCCTTTTTCTGAGAACAGGAGGGAACCTCTGAGAGGGCTCAGCAGAGAGGCAACAAGACCAGACCTGCATTTCTAAAAGGTCATTCTGCCATCTGGTGTGGAGAATGCACAGAGGAAGAAAAGGTGCCAGGGGGAAAAGCAGCAGGGTGAGCATGGGAGGGCCTGGACCCGACTTGCCCTCACTCCCCTCCAACCTAGCATCGGGCTTGCACAGAGAAGGTGCTCAGGGAAGATTTCCCGAATGGAACTGAGTTCATGTAATTTTCTGGAAGCAGGACTGGAGGGTCAGTAACAGGCACGAATGGGGACAGAGTGAAACCTCAGCCGACCAGAAATCCTTCAGGTGGGCCGTGGTCCTCACTCTGGCCACTCCCAGTGGACTGGGAGGTGCTTGAGCGCCCCCAGCCTTCACAGCACCACTGTCTGAAGGGGTTTCCTGGCAGACCAGGGCCCTGTTCCCTACAATCCACTTCCCCAGTTTAAATAGGAAGTGGCAGCATCCTGGGTCTGAGGGTCCCCCTACCGCCACCCAAGAGCGGTGGCCCGGCCAGCCAGCGCTGTACCCTTCTCTGTTTCATTCATTGGGGCATCCCATAAGATTTCATTTGGCCAAAGGATTCTGTTTCTAAATGGGTGAAAGAACCACTGACCTACGTGATTCGTTCACTCATCAAGCATTCGCAGAGTGCCCACTATGGACCCACTGGTGAGCAAGACCCAACTGGCTCCCTTCAGAAGCCAAGCAGAAGCCAGGCTGGGATCAAGGAATGGAGTTCCTCTGGTTCTGACTGAATTATTTCAGTGTTCTGTTCTCTGGCCAGAAAGGACCTGAAAGGGGACATGAAGGGATGGAAAGGATGTGAACGGGAATGGAGAAGCTATAAGCAAATCTACAGCAGAGGCTACAAATGCTACCATTTATTGAACACTTCCTGTGTGCCAGGCACCATGATAAGTATCTCACACACATAATTCTACCTATTCCCTACAACATCCCTGTGGGATTAGAGTCATGCCCATCTTGCAGGCTATAAAACTGAGCTCAGAGAGGCTACGTGAAAGGCAAGACAAGCTGGGGCTCAAACCCAGACCAGCCTGAGTCAAAACTCAGGCTCCACCCAGAAAAGGTCAAAGGGCACCTCCTCCTACCTGGAAAAGAGAAGACAAGCGAACAATGGACCTTCTCCTTAAGGAATTCTCTTGGGAAGCAGGGCCTAGGAGATTCCCAATGGACAGAGGGTGACATCCCAGGGTGGAGCTTAAATGAAGGTGGGGAGACTGGACTGGCATAAGACTGGACTTCCGGTCTGCTAGCAGGAGAGACCATCCTGGAAATCTTGCAGAAAGTAGACCCGCCCATGACCTGCATGGGGGCTGCAAAGCCTCAGAGCCCACAGGCAGAAGGCAGAGCTGGATGTACCCTGAAGGAGCAACTTGGTGTGGCAGAAACCCTGCCAATCTTCAGAAAGAACCTCCTCCCTTTCTGCTAGCCTCCTGCTGCATCCATCTCTGGCTGCAGGGAACTTCCATCCCCTTGGCTCTCTGAACCCATTCAGCTCCCAAGACCCTCCATCTCCTTGTCTTCTGATTCCTTTCTGCCTGCTCCTCTTCCCTCTTGGGCGCCATCTTGGTCTCCATTCCACCTTTGTCCTCACCAAGTCCTTCCTCATTCATGTCCCCCAAGGCCCAGCACCCACATCCCCAGGTGAACCTGCCCGCTCAGAACTTAAAGTCGAGGGCAGACCTAGCAAATGCTGAACCAAACATGGAACAAAGTCACTGGACAGTAGAAACCATCACAATCATTGACTCCAAGATCCCTGAAGGGAAGGAGCCTCAAGAAAGCTCTGGGTCCCGCCTTCAGGAAGGCCAAGAAGTAATGTGCCCATTTTATAGGTGTAGCAAATGAGGCCTCATAAGTTGTCGACTTTCCAATGGTCACACAGTGGGTAGAGAATAAGGAGGACTTAAACTCAGATTTAATGTCTTCTGTTACTTAATATGACATACGGGTCAGAACATCCAAAGGCAGGGGAGACAAGACTGGACAAAGAGAGGGGTAACTTCTCTTTATGAGGCAGGGGCAGAAGGGGCTCAAGCCCGGAGAGGTCCATAAAGAGAGGTCAGAAGGGGGAGGTGGCCCTGCTGGGGAGGAACTGGGAGGCAGTTCCTGGTTGCTATAGTATCTTTGTCGTCAAGAACAAGGGATAATTTGATCGAGTTGATGAGTCACCTGGCATTTGAGGCATAAGGCCAACTTACCAGGGCCAGCCTCCCGATCCTATTAGACTAGGCCTGGTGCTGGAGAATGGGGAGCAGGGAGCCCCACCCTAAAGCTTCCTCCCATGCCCCGAATCAGGACGAGAGTGCAAGAGAGAGCAGTGTGCATGGAGACGAGGATAAAAACACAGGGACGCAGACAGAGAGCACGAGCCATGTGCTGCCGAGAAACCAGAGCCAGGGAATCTATAGGACGTCCTCTGGGGCTGGGACAGGTGCCCCAGCAGTGACAGCTGCCAGCCGCCCAGGATGATGGGAACACAACAGGTGCAGAGGCGGGGGCGGAAACTGAAAGGGAATCTGAGAAAACAGCCTGGAGTTGGCCACCCCTCCCAGACCCTGGGCCCAGCGCCAAACAGCCCTTTCTCAGACCCTCTGAGACACAAACACACCTACGCCAGCTTCCCAGGGCCAGCCTGGCCAGCCTGAACTGGACAGAGGGGTCACCATCCATGCCAGACAGACAGGACAGAACAAGGAAGAAACCAGGTTTCAAATCCCAGGACAGAGTGTGCCACACGGAGCCCACCCCCACAGAGCCCCTACCAGGAAGCAAACGTTTGCCTCTGATAAGATTTATGTCACCGGCCAGGGAGGGTGGATGGATGGGCCCACCCTTGTGCAGGTTGGAAGCTGAGACAGGCAGGCTCTCCCACCACATGACTGAGCAAGCTACTGAGCTTCT